TATCAGAAGTCATCCTGGGGGATTTTGTTGGCAAATATAGCCCCTTTTTTTCGCCTCTTCTTTTTTTTTGGTTTTAATTTTTTTTTTATTGCGGACTTGTTATCGTTCAGCATGTTCCGTAATACTTTCATAAATCGTCTCCAATTCTCCAGAATGGTGAAATAATGGCTCTTGTCGGCCACCCGCATTTTACTGTGCTGTAAAAATAATGAAAGTCATATTGCGCTGCGGTTACAGATCTGCACAGGCAAACGGCACAAGTTTGAAGGAGGTCCCGAGATTTTTTCCTTTTCTTTTTTTTTCTAAATTGCTATGAATTTTCATTTTTGAGACAGTTTTTGGAGAGCTGCTTTGCTGTGTGCGCGCTTTTTTGGAGCAAAGCCGAGTGTAAACGTAAGGAGATGTTTAGCAAGAGTTGGAATAATTATATTTGTACTTATCAACTCCATATTTCCCGAGCTGAGCCTCCAATGGGGAGGAAAAAACAGAAGAAGTAGGTAATTCAGTTCAGTTATCACCGCTGCCGAGATTCAGTTTGTGATTCCTGAAGCCGAAATAACTAAAAGCCGTGAGAGACAAATACAGTGTTCATAGGGATACACTAATAAATGATCTCAACTTTTTATTTGTTTTTAAAGTTTTTAAAAACTCCTTCTAAATAAGTCTTCTAAATTAAGTACACAATTAAATGAAGGCTTGTACAAATAAAGATCTTTAATGCAATCATTCGCTGAACTCCCTGTGTGGGAGACGGTACTGCCTCATCTTTAGAGAATCTGCCTCATCTTTACAGAAACTTTACTGAGCGGTGTTTCCTCTTTTATGCACGTATTTATTTATTTATTATATCATTAACTTGTCCGAATAAGATGAACACCCGGAGATCGTTACGCTTTCTTCGTGGGGGACCTTATATACTTTCATGATAAGAGAACCGAAAGTGTTGCATATAGTTTACTGCAATATGGCACAAGAAATTAGATATTTAAATAATATTTAACATATTAAAAAACATAGAAGTGGGAAAAATGATTTAAAAATAAAGGTAAGTGCTGCATATCACACTAAATAAATTTAAGTGGCAACATATATAAATAAATATAAATATTAATGTAATACAGCCTAAAATAATAGCAGTAGTAGACACAATAGGCTATCTGCGGTTAAAATAAATAAATTGAGTGACCTGACCCGGTGAAGGTGTATTTGATTTCCTCACCCTTTCTGCCCCCGTGTGGTGCAGTGACTCTTGTGTTTATGCTGCAAACAACAGACATAAACTCTTGGACAACTTCAGTGCACACAGGAAAACACGAAAGACGTCAAAGTCGAATATTTTATGATTCTTTTATTTAGCAGTAGAAGAGGAGGGGACACAATTTGTTTGGATCAATTTATTTTGCGCCAGTCACATTTTGCCACAGATGTGTCAAATCTACAGTCTGGGTTCTGAGGTAACTGTTTCTGAGGTAATTGCTGCTGAGGTAACTGTGTTGGTGAACGCCACACAGATATGGGATTTGTGCAGAATTCGGAACATACTTGTAAAGTCCTGTTTTTCTTCTTCTTCTTCTTCTTTTGATGTTAATTTACCCCAGCAAAGAGCCTGAAGAAACAGAACTCTTCTAAAGTATACTCTGATAAACTATCCCCGTGTTTGTTTCAGGCAATAGTTTGCATTTCCTCTGCTAACATTTACAGGGCATGTACAGTGAGAACCAAGCACACGATGAGTGGTATGTGTGTGTTCTGTGCCGAATATAAATGTGTGTTTCCAAAACCTTCGAGCCCTCAGACGGAGGGCTGTCCATAAATCTCAATCTGAATGAGGTTTTCTTCCAGGGAGCCTCGTCTTAGTGGAGCTTGTGATTTCAAACATAATCATTATGTGAAAGCTCCACGATAACACATGTGCCATAAGCCCAGCTGTACTTATTTTGCTGAGGAATGAAGCGCCACAGATACTGGGGGTGGCAGGGGTGTGGGGGTTATTTCACAGGACATGATCAAATCAATCGCTTTAACGAATCATCTAATGGATCAGTGAGGAAAAGAAAAATCAAAGACAGATGAGTTTCTGGAGAGGTTTATACTCGGCTGCGTTTGCCAGAGGAAGGGTTGACGTCTTGGTACGCAGGTGGATATGAACAGGTGGAGCAGGTCTCACTGCTCCCCTTTTCGTCTCTTGTCTTCTGTGGGCTATGAGAGAGGGGGAAAGTGTGTGTGTGGGGGTAAAATATCACACAGAACATTATAGGCAGATTGAAAGGAAGTGAAGCAGTAGTTTACAAATGTTTACAGGCCCAAATGATGACGCTCAAAGAAAAACCTCAGCGCTTTCTTTAGCTTGTCCCTTGATCGTTCCTCTGTTTGACATTAAAGTTGGGGGTTCATATGAGCAAGGCAACACTTTATGGTTTTCCTAGGTTAAATGTATTTTGCCTGCTGTCTTTTTTTTTATTTGACTAAATTGCTTTTCTGGAAGCCTGCTGGGAGTAATTGTTCTAAAACAATGAAAGAAAGTGAAAACTTGTAACTTCCCCGCAAGCCTTAACCTTCAGGCGACCTTTCGGGAATGGAAGGTCACCTGGTGGTTACTGCATGCTGCTGGGATCCTGCAGTTAGTTTTCTTTTTCTTAAAAAAAAAATTTATGACATATGTATTTTTAAACTGGGCAAATATGCTGACCTAAAAATTTTCACATGACAAAATTACCCATGCATGCTGTAAAAGTGTCTTTTAATCGGATGGGGCAGCAGGACGGTTATATTAAAGGATGAGTAGTTATTTGGGGGTTTAGTTGTATTTGAAGAGTTTCAGTCCGGTTTCAGAGCTCATCACAGCACAGAAACAGCTTTAGTGAAGGTTACAAATGATCTTCTTCTGGCCTCTGACAGTGGACTCATCTCTGTGCTTGTCCTGCTAGACCTTAGTGCAGCGTTAGATACTGTTATACATAATATCCTATTAGAGCGATTAGAACATGCTGTAGGTATTACAGGTACTGCGCTGCAGTGGTTTGTATCATATCTATCTAATAGACTCCAATTTGTGCATGTAAATGGAGAGTCCTCTTCACACACTGAGGTTAATTATGGAGTTCCACAGGGTTCAGTGCTAGGACCAATTCTGTTTACATTATACATGCTTCCCTTAGGCAGCATCATTAGAAGACATAGCATACATTTTCACTGCTATGCAGATGACAACCAGCTCTATCTGTCCATGAAGCCAGATAACACACACCAATTAGTTAAACTGCAGGAATGTCTTAAAGACATAAAGACCTGGATGGCCGCTAACTTTCTGCTTCTTAATTCAGATCAAACTGAGGTTATTGTACTCGGCCCTGAAAATCTTACAAATATGGTATCTAACCAGATTGTTACTCTGGATGGCATTACCTTGGCCTCCAGTAACGCTGTGAGGAACGCTGGTCGAGGATATGTTGCTGTGAGGACATATCCTCGACCAGGACATGTCCTTCAACGCACATATTAAACAAATATGTAAGACTGCGTTCTTCCATTTGCACAACATCTCTAAAATTAGAAATATCCTGTCTCAGAGTGACGCTGAAAAACTAGTTCATGCATTTATTACTTCCAGGCTGGACTACTGTAATTCATTATTATCAGGATGTCCAAAAAACTCGCTAAAAAGCCTTCAGTTAATCCAAAATGCTGCAGCAAGAGTGCTGACAGGGACTAGAAAGAGAGAGCATATTTCTCCTGTTTTGGCTTCCCTTCATTGGCTTCCTGTTAAATCCAGAATTGAATTCAAAATCCTGCTCCTCACATACAAGGTCTTAAATAATCAGGCCCCATCTTATCGTAATGATCTTGTAGTACCATATCACCCTATTAGAGCACTTTGCTCTGCAGAACTACTTGTTGTTCCTAGAGTATTTAAAAGTAGAATGGGAGGGAGAGCCTTCAGTTTTCAGGCCCCTCTTCTGTGGAACCAGCTTCTAGTTTGGATTCGGGAGACAGAAACTATCTCTACTTTTAAGATTAGGCTTAAAACTTTCCTTTTTGCTAAAGCATATAGTTAGGGCTGGACCAGGTGACCCTAAATCCTCCCTTAGTCATGCTGCAATAGATGTAGGCTGCCACGGATTCCCATGATGCATTGAGTTTTTCCTTTCCAGTCACCTTCCTCACTCACTATGTATTAACAGACCTCTCTGCATTGAATCATGTCTGTTATTAACTTCTGTCTCTCTTCCACAGCATGTCTTTTATCCTGTCTTCCTTCTCTCATCCCAACCGGTCGCAGCAGATGGCCGCCCCTCCCTGAGCCTGGTTCTGCTGGAGGTTTCTTCCTGTTAAAAGGGAGTTTTTCCTTCCCACTGTCACCAAAGTGCTTGCTCATAGGGGGTCATATGATTGTTGGGTTTTTCTCTGTATCTATGAAGCACCTTGAGGCGACTTTTGTTGTGATTTGGCGCTATATAAATAAAATTGAATTGAATTGAATTGAATTAATCATTCCAATTTCACTAAGACAGTACTAAGTTTACTTTGTGGAAACAAGCTGAAAAAAATCCATCATTTAGTCACTTTTTCAGAGTTACAAAAACCAGCACTCATGTGCCACATTGCTTAGTAATTTCAGCGGTAATCAACACTGAGGTGTCGACTATCAGAGAGACCTTAATTACGCCATAATTGACTTGGGAGTGCAGTGACGGCCAAGAACCACTTTGGGCTGAGAGAAAAGTGATCTTGTGGCTAGTATGAAATGAACCCTGGCACACAGTGTCTGCTTTAATGAGCTCAGCGAGGAGCTGCAAGTTGTAACGCAGTGAAATTCTGACATAAGATTCGCTCTGCCTTTTGTTGGTTTTATCCACTCTAGCCTCGACACGTTGCATATGTACCCATCTTCCAAAGCCAGACCTCTAAAATAACAGCATGTTTAAATAATGGTGAACCCCAGCGGGACTACAGCTGTTCTTCTTCGGGTTATATTCCTCACAATAAGCATGGTTTCCTACCTGTTTGCACGATACACCGCATCATATGGAGGCAGTGCTCCATCAATGTCGTTCACGGAGTTGTCAGTCTGGGACCCATTGGCCTGGCGTGCTTCTTGAGTTTTACCAGTTGACTTAACTAGTACTGGCGTCGGTGATGTAATTGGCAAAAATGGTAAAACTCGGAAGGTGTGCACCATAGGTGTTCCATCGTCGTGAGCCTTCACATGCAAGAAGAAACCTAGGAATAGGAAACCAAGTGCGACTATGGCCAGGAAAGGGCCAATCAGTTGTTTCAGCTCTTCTTGGGGATCTTTGAAGTGAATCCACCAATCAATGCAAGTGTACAGGATAGCCATTATTAGCATTATGCTTCCAGTGTTCATCAGGCATTCTCCAGCCTTGTTGCACCGCAACTGGCTTGCAGTCATCTGAGTTGGGTCATTAGATTTCCCACTGGGATCCTGTGTAGGATTTCCACCCTTTTTTGGTTTTCATTGCAGCCCACTTCCCCACCACCCTTCTCTAAACGGGACCATGCTGTGAATGCAGAGGTATACTGGCTGGAAACTGGATAACAGTGAAGACTCTTATAGGGGACAGGTTACAAATTAACTACTGACCCTGACACCAGCCTCTAGAGACCATGACTTATTAACACAAAGAGAGATTCCTGCATAGAAAATCATCCAACCCCGCCACATATCATTTCACACAGACTCATGTGAAACTGGCTCTGCTGTAATGCATTGCTGATAATCAACAATGGCTTGTGCTGAAGTCTTGCATCTTAAGTGGAAAGGCTTACAACAACATCACCCTGTAGTACAAAGATGAGCTAGTTGTCTAACTACTGAGAGTAACTGCTCCAGCTGCTCCTCCATACTCTACTTTAGGTGTCCATAAGCTTTAGCAGGTCTGTGTCTGTGTGTACTACAGTAATAAAATAAAAAAATAAAAAACACAACTTTGTTCATAAAATTTTCATTCGGAATGCAAACACAGTCACATGCAAACATGTTTTTAGAATTTCAAGCAGTCCTTTCCCCCAAAGGGCAGCTTGAATTTGCCTACTCTGAGCGCATCTACGCTGTGTTGCGTGTAACCAGCCTGTCAGTCACAATGCGAGGATAATGCGCCACTGATGGCAAAGCAAAACAAAGGGTCTTCAGTTGGATAACAACGGACTATCAAACACACAATACCAATAGCTGATTAAATCTAACCTGTGTGTGTATCTGTGTCCTCGAATGTGCGTCTGTCTGTTTACCATAGCCTCAGCTCATTTCACAGATACAAAGGATCCATATGAGCGCAGTGTTTAAAGAACCTCCCAGAATTTAAGCTGCGCAGATTCTTTCAATTAGCAAACTCCAAATATTTATGGAGTGAACATTTCCTCTCTGGAAGGAAGGAAAGTTTTGTGTGTGTGTCTGTCTCCTGTTGACTCACTCTGGGGTGTATTGATCCCCAGGGCTTATGCTTCGTTTCACTTCAGCTCTGCCATCATCCTTCAAAAGCATATCTTTGCAGCATTTAGACTGTCACTTTCTATCAGAAATAGTCACAAAGCGGCAATATTCCAAAAGGCTATCCAGAGAAAAGAGGTAAGAAATGATGCCACGCCCATGCAATGGATTATATGCCCACAGATATAAATAGCCCTAATTCATCCATCCTTCCATCATTTCCTGTCTGAAGTCTAAAACACTTTATAGGGTAGAAAACTGATTCATTTCACCTCTTGGGTCTTTCATTTTGTACTAATTGTGTCTTCCAAATGGCGCTAACATGGCAAACATGGTCAAGAGGTCCAGTTTGGTGACTTGGATACGATGAGTTGACACCTACCACTCCTAATAATACATGATCCTAAAGTTACAATGTGTAAAATTTTAATAAGTCAGTGACAGTCACCTATGTCCAATGACAGCGATACTGAGGTGAGATTTTGAGGATATCCTGAACTTTTCTGTTGGAAAGCGCTGCTGTTTTTTGATGTTGTCAGCTGCTGTTAGCCAATGTTAGCAAAACCTTCTTTGAAATAGATCTAACACTGTTGGACTATGACACGATCTGAGAACGCAGAGAATATAGAGAGGTTTATGAGAGGAAACGTATGACACTCAAGCCTAATGTTAGCTGGCATAATGTGCTTATAACTAGCTGCTGTTGTTTAGCTAGCTCGCTGTAAACTGTTTGAAGACGTGAGGTTCGTATGCCTAATCTACTGACAATAAGTCATTTTGACAATACCTTGAATAATACGTAAGTTTATTTACACTAATTAAAGTACATTTATGAGTACAGTATTGTTTTCTTCTTTTAATAATAAATGAAAAAAAAACAGCTGACTGTACCTTTAAGTCTTCAAGTTTGTTGAGTTATTTATCAGGACCTGTATTTTTCATACATATTTGCAATGTGTTGGTTGTCTCTTATATCCTCATCCCAGTTACAGGGCTTTTTGGGAGAGTTTTTCTAATCCAAATTAAGGGTGTACCAAAAGGGACATTTTGTAGAGCTCATTCATTCATCCACCAATTTTCTAACCACTAGCCATTGAGTGAAATTTATAATTTGTGATATTTCTCTATGTAAACTAAATGAGTTTATTTAATCTAAAGGGACAAAGTGCTCCAATATCATTTTTAAAATCTTATAAAAAAAAAAAAGCAACGAAACTGTGATTGTCCTAGGCCGCTAAAGAAGCACGAGAAGAACTGCAATAGGAATAGAGATGTGACTATTTTTCAGTTTTCCCCTCCCCCACATACACACACTAAGACACACATGCGTAAAATGACAAATAGCCTGTGACGTGCCTCTGTGAACATGGCACGAAAGGGCCCACTCCCTTTCCCCAGGGCTAATAAGGCACTGCAGTCTGCTCCTGGGCAGATCTCCCTGCTGAATCCAAATTTTACTACCAATAAAGGAAAAGTCTCATGCGAAACGACGCCTTTATTTCTGTTAGTGTTTGCAGTCGCCAGGTAGCAGAAACACAATAAGTGCACTTCATTATGTTTTCCTGATCCCCCAGGCCCACCGGTTTGCATGACTCAACATCTAAATGTGCAAAGAAGCAGAAAGGAAAAGGACTCACAATTGGTTGATTGGAATTCTGAAATCGGCCAATTACAAAGCTCAATTATATTACTTCCATCTCACATTCAGGTTTTGTTTGTGAAAGAATGCATCCGTGCGAGATACATAATTGAGATACTAGATTCCTATTGTAGCTCTACAGGCTCAGACTAAAAAAAAAGGTAATTGTCTGTTACTGTTAGCTAGACAAAAATTGAAAATTCTTTGTTTTTAGTTTCCTGTCAGATCTGTTATCAAGTTACATTCAATATTTTCTTTGAGAGGGGGAAGCAGTCAACAGAGTTCTGCTTGCTCAGTGGAAAATGTGACAGGTGGCCTCGAATGTGACTACGACACATTCAGGGTTTGAGTTATTCTTAAAGGTCTCCTGGATTTTGGTACGAGCACGAGAAGAAGAGGGAAGGAATGCATATTGATGCCGTAAACTTACACCATCCTTGTTTATTCAGATGGCTTTTCTCATGGTGAAGAGGGAGATCAAATAGGCACATCAATTATAAATTGTGCATAAATGTTACTGATGTGGCTCTTGCTTTTCGGGATACTAGAATAACTCAGCTCTATGGCTCCAGTGGGCCTTTGGACAAACAGAAGTGTGATGGTGGACAGCAAAAACTAAATGCTCCCTCTGGTCTGATGGTTGCACGGGGCTGTTGTGACGTTAAGTTTCTCACAACCGATACCAGACGCAGACAGCTCGACTGTCCAGAGCAAAAAATGTTCTCCATTCCTTTGACCAAGAGGCAGCCCAGAATATAAATCCTTGTATACGCTTGTCTTCTTTCTTTTCCTTCCTTCTTATTTTTGCTATCGAGATATAATATGGTGCCGACAGTGTTTGAGTAGCACTGGTCAAATGCAATTGAGAACACTATCAATCTTCCCATCCAGCTCTTGGTAAGAGAGCATATTTCCACTCTGCTGTTACCCATTTATTTTTGGACCATTGTTTCAAAGGCTTCAGTTTGGCATTTCCACTGCTGCTACTTTGGTTAGCATTTTAAGTCAGATGTGACCATATCTGGAAAAGTGAGTAGTTTCTCACGTGATTTCATGCGCACTTGATCGAGTTACTCACCATGTTGGACATAATACAGCGTACGGTCACTAGGGAAATATGTCTACTCCCTGACTCGTTGGCGAATTTCGCTACATCAGGCTGAAGATACTGTTCATGAACATGGGCAGGATAAATACACTACCAAAAAAACTGGTCAAACACTCATTTTATACAATGTAGTAACATTTATTTCCATCCAGAGTTGCATTCATTTTTCCACATTAGCGATGGGAGAGTCGGACTATTGCGTACTCTTCCCCAGCAACTCCCAACAGTTCTCAGCGGGGTTAAGATCTCAACTCTGTGGTGCTCAATCTGTGTATAGAAGTGTATGCAACAGCTCCTGCTCCCTGAACCACTTTTTCACTGTTTGAACCCGCTGAATCCCAGCATTGACATCTGGGAATATTCCCATGTCATCAGGGAAGAAAAAATCCACTGATGGAAAAACTTGGTCAGTCAATATACTCAGGCAGTCAGTTGACCCAATCTTCTATTCACAGCTTCAGTTATGTTTGCCAGCCTAAATATATTAATCAGTAATGAACTATTTGCCTAGTTAAATCCAGGTGGTGATTTTTTTGGGGTCAGGAAGTTTATATAAATCACAACCTGGAAAGTCCTCTAGGCACCACCAGACACAAAGTAATGTGTAATAAGCTAACCACTTTATAAGTGAGCGATGTGTTAATGTGTCCATGTTTGAACTGATCAGATAGTCTGATGACTTGGCTTCTGCGAATGGCTGTTTTCTGGGATTTCAGTGAAGCCAGGACATCTCAAGGCTAAGATTTACATTTTTATCCTGCAAGCATGTTTGTGAATAAAGATCTTTTTAAAAGCATAAAAATGTCATCAGAGAATTTGCATTACAACAAATGTTTTCCATGTATTACAGTCCACATGGACTATGTTCTTGCATGCAACCAAAGCCTGCTCCAACGGTCAATAGCATTTGGACTACAAGCGCACTGCAAAGGCAAACCAGAAAGCTTCAGGTAAAGTTTCATGTAACACAATGTCAACATAGCTTATTCATATCTATTTCCGGAGATTTGCCATAAACAATTGCTGAACAGGATAGTGCCCACTTTTCAGTCAAAGCTGCAGTGCCTTTTATTTTGCATATTTTAAACTTCAATAGAAATTAAATAAATCATAAAAAAAAAAGACCGAAAAAAAAAAGCGATTGAGTCACCCAAACATTGATGGGGACCTACAGTTTCTGGGACAGACTGGCTTCCTTTTTCATTTGGTTGCCACAAATAGACATTTTCTTTCTCCCTGAAGACATCAAGCTGTTCCAAAGTGCTCTCCCTCTCACATTATTAGTCTTCCTACCTGTTACAGCCCGCACACACACACACACACACACACAC